GACATCCATGACTCAACGAAAGATCCTTAATTAGCCCCTACTTTGCAAGGGGAGCTGAGTCTGTCCGACCGTCTCATGGCCCAAAGTTTGCCGAAGCTGGAGAGCATGATCGAAAGTCTCTGGAAGCTGGTCTGCGATCTGGTCAAGGGTTTTGAAATTTGGGGTGGTTTTAGGGTGAAGGATCTGTACAGGTTTAGGGTTTGGGAATGTCGTGCGCTACGGTCTTGTCACCCCAACGCTTCCTTGAGAGGTGACGCCGGGGATGATACGGAGAGCACAGGCCTCTGGAAGCCAGGGCCCCAGCATCGGAGCGCAGATGCCCCGTTTCCGGATCCTAAACTCTTAAACTATAAACCCTAAACCCTGATTCCTAAACTCTTCATTAAACCCTAAACCCTAAACCCTGAACCCGAGGCCCTAAACCCTGAACCGTGACCTTCCGGGGTTTATTTCGGAGCCCGCAGGCTATACGGAACCTTCATACAGCCCTTGGAAACGCCGGAGGCCAGATCAACAGAGGCTGTAAACTTGTACTCCTGTACAAAGACTTCACAGAAATGCCAAAGCCAGAGAGACTCCAACTATGAAGCAATGAATCCCCACAGAAAGATTGAAATTTCTTGAACTGTACAGAAATCCTCGCAGCAACACAGAGCCAGTTTGAAAACCTATGGTCTCCATTGTACTTCCTTTTTGGGGTTACCTTTTAGGATCCTTAGTCTAAACTTGGTTAAACCGACAGCCCTAAACCCCTAAACCCTAAAACCCTAAACCCCTAAACCCAAACCCCAAAACCCCAAAACCCAGCTGCAGGTGGTCGATTCCCGTGGCCTCTCGCAAGGGCATCGGGCGTCTGATGCAGGGGGATCGATGCTTGCAGGCGGAGTCGGAGTACTTTCAGGGGGCCTAAGGCTTATCGGATGTTTTAGGGCTTCGTGTGGGGGGTCGGGGATCGTGGTGAGTGGAGGGGTCATAGATGGGCTTGGGGCTGGGGGATTTGGAAAAAGCATGTGAAGGCTAAACGTTAAACCCTCCATGCAGCTTCAGGAAAGCACTTACCCATAGGCCCCTAAGTAGTTTCTTTTGTGGTTTATGTTTAGAATCCTATAAGGTAACCCCAAAAAGGAACTACTTAAGGGCCTATGGGTATGCCTGGAACCCTGAACCCCTCAACCTTAAAACCCATCGAAACCCTTCAATCCGAGCTCACAGCGCTTCCCTAGCATGGTAACTTAACTCATCTCATCCGCACTATACCTACCCTCTATTAGACCCTGAATACCCACTTTTGGGGACCATATTTAATATGCCTCTGCTTGAAGGTACAAGGAGGGTCCTGGTACTCCGAGTCATATAACCAGAAATACCAATAGTCTCCGTTGTAGTTATTGAATTGGGGTTACCGTTTACGATCCTTAATATAAATTTGGTTAAACCAAAAAAGGAACTACAATGGAGACTTTAGGTAGGGCTACAAGGGCTCCCCCCAACATAGCAGGGCTAGTTCAACTTTCTAAGGGCGCACAGCTCCGCCACGCTCCGCCCCTTTAGCCCGATATATCTCAAACCCTAGGCCCAAAACCCCAAACCCAAGAAGTACACCCTAAACCCTCAACCGTAAACCGTACGCCCTAAACCCTAAACCCGAAGCCTTGAGCTCCAAGCCTCAAGCCCTAACCCCAAAACCAGTGTGGGTACCTGCCTACCAGGATCCGGCAGAACACCGGCGCCAAACGGATAAGCTGTCTTAGAATTTTAAGTCTAAAGCTTATGAACCTTAGGCCGTGTAGACCTACCTGAAGCACATCACCTGCAAAACCCTGAACCTCAAGCCCGATCAAACCTCTAACGTAAGCTTCACGTCTCTTGGGTGTTGCTTGTCGATTCGTCTGCTTGTTTGTCCATAGCTTCATTTATGGGGATCTTGAAAAAAGCAAGCTTCGTTGCTGACCGTCACAAGGGGAGCGGAGCAATGACAAAGCCACTTCTTGTAGAAGGATCCTCTCGCTACACTGCAGACCGGCTTCGGGTTTAGGGGTTTAGGCTCCCCGACCCTCCTTGCACACTCAAATATAGAGGTACATGGTCCCAAATCATGGGTATTTGGGACCATATACCGGGTAGATGGAGGGTCGGGGCTCAAGCCCAATGACTTGATATCGAAGCCGCAAACTGCAAACACCAAAGCTCCGAACTCTGAACCCTCCTTGCAAGCCATAGGCCACAAAGAAAAGCAATAAAGACAAACAAGCCCAACTCAAACCAACAACGAAACAGCGCATACAGGCGGACCCCACTTTAAGAACAAGTGACTTGAAGCAAAAGAAGAGCTGTGACACAGAAGACATGAGCCCTTTGCTTGCAGTTGGTGAACCACGAGTGGCTGAGTTTCAGCCTCGAGGTTACGCGGTGCCCTCAGCTGTGCCTAGAGGTCCATGGTGTTTGCTTAGGGCTTAGGTTTCGAAACTGCTCATGTAGCTGAGATGTCCCAAAGGGGGAAGCTATGAGGGTTCTTTAGGGCTTTATGGGACGTGGGTTCCCCTTAAAAGGGGTATATTCTGGGGCTTTGTAATTGGGTCCCCCTTAAAGGGCACTAGACCGCCGAGGCATGTAGGGTTCAGGAGTTTGCGGTTGAGGGGTTTTAGGGAATAGCGTCTTTGGGGTTTGGGGGGTTTGTGGTTGAACCAAAGGTATGAACCCTAAACCTTGAACACTAAAATCCCGTAAGCACCCTTCAACCCCAAACCCAAAGCCCGAAACCCTGGCTTCTGTCCCCAGCTCGAACATCCAGGGCCGCGAACCGAAGATGGAGGTCCGAACGATTATTGGCTTAAGGGTTCAGGGGCTAGCATCGATGTCTGAAGTTAAAAGTAGCAGCATGAGTTCTAGCCCCTTTTCTAGTCAACCTTACTATGACCCTATAAGCCCTAAACCCTAAACACTAAGCACTAAACCCTATTCTGTTTGTTAAGACATACCACGACCGCTGTGTGAAGTCCAACCCCGAACCCTGAAGCCTCGAGCTGGAATATCTCATCCCCCTTGAAGCCCCAAAAAACGCAAGCCCTACACCCCTCAACACTAAACACCAAAGCCATAAACCCCCGAAACCCCGAAACCCCAAACCCCTCAGCCCCAAAAGCCCTAAACCCATAAACCCCTATAGGCCCTATAAACTCATAAACCCCCTAAAGACGCTAACCTACAAACCCCTATAGACCTTAAACCCGTAAATCCCTATAAGCCCTGCACCGATAAGCCCGTATAGACCCTGAACCCATAAACCCTTGTAAACCCTCAAACCATAAACCCCAGGGCGTAAGGCAAAGATTATAGGATAATACAGTTTAGGGGCTTGGGTCGACGGCTGAAGTCGGAGTAGTAGCGTGAGTTCTAGCCCCTAACTATAATACCCCATATCTACTATGATATCCTCCAGACTCTATACTCAACTCTGTTTTTGACGATATAAAGACCACTTCGGAAAGCTCAACCACGAACCCGCAAGCCCCGAGCTGAAAATTGCTCAGCCCAAAACACCCCCAAACCTAAACCAACCGGTTGCCGGCCCCACGCCGTAAACACAAAAAACGCGCGCTCACCGGCGCGCCCGTAAGCCCCAAACCCGCAACCACACAGTCGACAGAGCCAAGCTCCTTTAAAGCCCTAAAGCCCTGAAGCCCCAAAGCCCTAGACCCCCTAAACCTTTAAAACCCATGACCCAGAAAGCCCTATGTATGAGCGCTCTGCTCTATGCCCCCAAACCCCTAAAGCCAAATCCCTAAACCCTAAACCCAAATCCCGAAACCCTAAACCCTAAACCCAAATCCCGAAACCCTAAACCCCCTAAACGATCAAGGCGATGCCAAAGCCCGCTCCTCAGTCGGAGGACCTGCTCCAGCCTTCGCGATAAAGGCTGCCAGAGGTTCAGGCGTTTAGGGTTTTGGGGTGTAGGGTTTGGGGTTTAGGGCTAGTGTTTGGGGCTTGGGGTTTAGGGTTTCGGGTTGTTTTGGGGTTCGTAGGTTTAGATTTTGTGGCTTTTTAGGACCCACTGAAGACCGGATACGTCCTGCACTCTAATCCGTGTCTGCCTGTGCATATAGTTAACAGTTCATATGAGTCGCAGAGGGGAGTTCTTAAAGCCAGAGTTCCCTGGCTTACAGGTCCTTGTGATAAATAAAGCATTGTATCGAGCGTGCTGTCATGCAGTGCATCAGGGTTACTATCTGTCATTCTTCGGACACTTCCATACACCAAGGATCTTGGCTACACTTTTGGGGTTAGGGCTTCGGATGGCCATGGTGGGTACATATCCTGGGCTTTTTTTCCCATTGACGCGGAATGGACTTGCGAAGCCTTCTTCGGCTTGACCCTAAACCCTAAAACCTCGAGCCCAAGACTCAAAACCGCTGAATCCTACACCGAAGCCAGAGATGAACCAACTTGGACTCAGAGCCCGGACTCGATACTGGAAGGTACCCAGACCTTCCAACGCCCCTTCATCAAGCCAAGGTAGGGGTTAGGGGTTTAGGGGTTTAGGGTTTAGGGTTTACCTACAGTCTCCATTGTAGTTCCTTTTTTGGGTTTTACCCTTCTTCATATTAAGGATCCGAAAAGGTAACCCCCAAAAGGAACTACAATGGAGACTATAGGTAGGGTATATACTATTTGGGCACATGGACCCTTAGGGGTTACAAGCATAACAGAAGCATCCCAGCGGGCCGTTCCCCGAGGTAGCAACGCTGAGGACCAGCTTTGGGCGTGGGCTCCGTCCTGAGAAGTAACCTGATATCCAGTGAACATGGAATGGGGTGCTGAATTCAGCCATAACCGCAAGTAACAAACCCTAAATCATGAGGGATCTCGGGGGTTTCCAGCTGCTGTCTAGGTCTCTGAGCGCACTCGTAGCGCAGGACAGCAGTGAGCATCGCAAGCCCGTGGCAGCAAATTTGCTCCAAGCAGTTGACAGTTTTGGATTTGTGCCCTCTCCTTTCGAGCCCATGGCGCCACAGATGTTAGCGACGATGCTTGTGGCCGTATCGTGGAGCACAGTGTTGGGGCAGCTTCGAGGCCTGTCCGCCCACACGAACGAAACCAACTCCACGGAACAGAGAGCTCTCGGCTTAGCTTCCGGGCACATCTCGGGTCATCCCGACCCGAGTAAGCAGTACCCAAGCTACCCGGGTTTCACGCTGGCGCTCGTGGAGGAGTTCGACAGCCCTCTGGATTTGGACAGCGATCCAATCTGGACCTGGTCGGACGGTGGTCTCTTCGAAGGCGACGTGCGCTTCGTGAAGCAGCAGATCCGTTTTGAGGACGGCAAAATGAAGATCACTGCCACGAAGAACCCTGGCTATTCTACACAGGCCTGCTCGCATGCCGAGGTGGGAACTGTTGATCACAAGCCGCTGGTGAGCGGCGAGTTCCGCTCGCGAAGAAATATCTTCCGCTACGGGCGCTACGAGGTGCGCATGAAGGCTCCGGATGTGCAGCCCGGGAATCCAGATGTGGACGGGAACTTTGTCGCCACCATGTTCATTTTCCGCGATGCCAAGTTCCGTCACTGGCGGGAAATTGACATCGAGGTTACAGGCGACTCCCCCAACTCTGTGACGACCAACGTGCTCCGTGCCGACAACACCGAGTTTTGGAGACCGCAGATCGCTTCGGTCAGAGAGACCAACGTACAAGGTAACGCACGTGCCGAGTTCCACACCTACGGCTTCGAGTGGCTGCCCGATCGCATCACCTGGTACATCGACGGCGTTCCCGTGAGGAGCCACTACGGCGGCAACCCACCGATTCCGGACAAGTCGGCCAAGGTCATGATGAACTTGTGGATCTTTGGCCCAAAGGCCAACTTCGGAGGAAGGCAGATCGACAACAATCGATACCCTATGACCAGTGAGTACGACTGGTTCCGCTTCTACAAGTGGGACGGTGAGACGACCTATCCATGCCAGAGCTTTTCCACTTCGTGCCTGTCGAGCGATGACAGGTACTGGTAGGGTGTGTTCCGAAGCATTATACCACTTAGTATTCATGAAGCCAGGTAGGGCCATGAACGAAGCTGAATTACGCATATCGAAGAACTGTCGTTGTTTTTTTCCAACAGCCCTTAGTAAGAGCAGCCTGCAGGTATCTGGATGGCAACAACCCTTGCGATGGGCAGCCGATGCTTGGCACTTGGAAGGGCCAGGGTGCATGCAGTGCGTCCTGCCGATGAGTCGCGAGGAGGTCAGCGGCTCCATTTAACCTGGCAACGAGGCCTTATAAATTAGTAAGCAATTCCTCATACTCTTTATACAATTAGGCCTTTGATATAGCATATTTTCTAATTATTAGGGCTGTTCGTGGACGCATGGATTTCTTGCATAGATTGCCCCCAGTTAAGTGGGGTCTAATTCGTGCCCGTTTTGGGAAAGCTTGCCATCAACAGAGTGGTATTGCTACCCTTCTTCAAACCGTTTGCTTGCTCATGGTCAGTCTCCCGAAGGAACCTGCCAATTTCTTCGGCAACAGCGGCCTTAACATGTCAAAAAGGAGGCTGGTCAGTTGACTCACATGGGTAGTTCTCTAAATTGGGGTCCTTTTTTAGAGCCCCAATATAGTACGGCACCCTTATAAAGGGGACCCTAATTTAGGGAACTACCCGCATGTTGGGTGGGGCTTGTTTTCTTCCTGGAACCTGCTTGGGCCAGAAGTCGGCCTTAGGCCAGGCCCTACAATACTGCACCTAGAGTCTTCATTGTAGTCCCTTGTTTTGCTTTAACCAATCTTTGTATTTAGGATCTTAGAAAAGGTAACCCAAAAAGGGAACTACAATGGAAAGCATAAGTATTCAATACGGGTCTGATCAATTAGCAGCACTTTTCTTTCGGGCTCCTAAATATGCATGTATTGGCAATCCTCACAAATCAAGAGTTTACCAAATTTACACCCAATCCAATGAAGGTCTGTATTGAGTCTGTGCAGCATCACAAGTCCGTGGTAGCAAATTTGCTCAAAGCAGTTGACGGTTTTGGATTTGTGCCCTATCCTTTCGAGCCCATGGCGCCACAGATGTTAGCGGCGATGCTGGTGGCCATATCGTGGAGCACGGTGTCGGGCCAGCTCAGGGGTCTGTCGGCACACAAGAACGAAACCAACGCCACAGACCAGAGTACTCTCCGCTCAGCATGGGGAAGCTGCCAAAACTACGGATGCCCTTCGACATACATTCAGAGTCAAGCGTGCCAGTGCAACAGCCGATGCCAGGACTACCACAACTGCTGCTCGGACATCACCAGCTGCAGCGCTGGAGCACCACCTGCTGCATCCCCGGCCGGCACGCCCAGCGCTTCCGGGCACATCTCGGGTCATCCCGACCCGAGTAAGCAGTACCCAAGCTACCCGGGTTTCACGCTGGCGCTCGTGGAGGAGTTCGACAGCCCACTGGATTTGGACAGCGATCCAATCTGGACCTGGTCGGACGGTGGTCTCTTCGAAGGCGACGTGCGCTTCGTGAAGCAGCAGATCCGTTTTGAGGATGGCAAAATGAAGATCACCGCCACGAAGAACCCTGGCTATTCTACACAGGCCTGCTCGCATGCCGAGGTGGGAACTGTTGATCACAAGCCGCTCGTGAGTGGCGAGTTCCGCTCGCGAAGAAATATCTTCCGCTACGGGCGCTACGAGGTGCGCATGAAGGCTCCGGATGTGCAGCCCGGGAATCCAGATGTGGACGGGAACTTTGTCGCCACCATGTTCATTTTCCGCGATGCCAAGTTCCGTCACTGGCGGGAGATTGACATCGAGGTTACAGGCGACTCCCCCAACTCTGTGACGACCAACGTGCTCCGTGCCGACAACACCGAGTTTTGGAGACCGCAGATCGCTTCGGTCAGACAGACCAACGTACAAGGCAACGCACGTGCCGAGTTCCACACCTACGGCTTCGAATGGCTGCCCGATCGCATCACCTGGTACATCGACGGCGTTCCCGTGAGGAGCCACTACGGCGGCAACCCACCGATTCCGGACAAGTCGGCCAAGGTCATGATGAACTTGTGGATCTTTGGCCCAAAGGCCAACTTCGGAGGAAGGCAGATCGACAACAATCGATACCCCATGACCAGTGAGTACGACTGGTTCCGCTTCTACAAGTGGGACGGTGAGACGACCTATCCATGCCAGAGCTTTTCCACTTCGTGCCTGTCGAGCGATGACAGGTACTGGTAGGGTGTGTTCTGAAGTATTCTTCCACTTAGTGTTCATGTAGCCAAGCAGGACCGTGAACGAAGCTTCGAAGAACTGCTGTTGTTTCTTTTCAACAGCCCTTAGTTAGAGCAGCCCTGCAGGTATCTGGATGGCAACAACCCTTGCGATGGGCAGCCGATGCTTGGCAGTTGGAAGGGCCAGGGTGCATGCAGTGCATCCTGCCGATGAGGTCCGTGGCGCATTTTAACTCTTGGCCACTGCGGACTTGCAGAATGCATGGCTTCGTCGTAGAGGGGCTCTTTCCCGTAAGGTCCAGGCTTTCGGGTAGTGTCGGCCCCTGCCTTTTCTTCCTTAGTATAGACTGCCCCCAGTAAAGTGGGGCCTAATTCGAATTCGTGCCAGTCTTGGGAAGGCAGTGCCATCAACAGAGTGGCACTTTTGATCCTCCTTTCGACCGTTGGCTCATGGCCCCTACGGAAGCTGTTTTATGCTCATGCACATTGGCCTTCGTGCCTTGGTACGTCCAAAAAGGAGGACGGTCACTCCGCTGACTGAGCTGTGGCAGTAGCCCCGAAACCCGGAAGGGGGACTTGATTCATGATGGAAAGCCATTGAGTAAACCGCCAGCCTATTGCTTATTCTTCTAACCTGAAACAAAAGAAACGAACCCTGGGCCTTGCCTTATGCCCCAAGCTTCAAGCTTGCTGAGCTTTTTCCGCGTCTGAACCCTTAAAGCCGAACCCCTATGAGCCTTATGAACTCTGAACACCAAGGATAACCTCGCCGTCACTTCGCAGGAGCTGCAGTTCTGTCTGTGCTCGTGTGTCTCTGCGAAGCTGTACGATTTAGGCCTTAGGGCCTCTGAAACCCTAAACCCTAAACCCCGGATTCATGGGTTTTGCAAGTTTCGCCTTCGACTTGACTCGTGGTTGGGCGGAGGACCTTATGCCCAAGGTTTGTTTCAGGGGTTTTGGGTTAGGGCCTAACGGTTAGGGGTCTAGGGTTCAGGGTTTAGGGTTTAACGGTTCAGGGTTGAGGGTTGAGGGTTAGGGGTCGATGCAAGTCGGCTTTCAACCGTAGGGCTTGTGAACTGGGGCCTTTCTTGATGCGGCTATGAAGAGTCCCTTGGCTTCAGAGGATCAGAGGATTTGTGTACATAAGCCGACAGGTATGCTCTAACTCAGGGCTTGTGAACAATTATATTATATAAGTATAAGCATAACCATAGCTGTGACCTTGCAAAGTACCCAGTCCCAGGATCCCGTGAATCCCTGAAGCCCTGTGCAGCAGATACATGTGACGAAGCTGTGACCTAGCCCCCTTAGGCCCTAAGTTTGGTAGAACCCCCCCGAGGTGCTCCTGAATAGAAGCCTTAGGCCCCCCCCGGGACGAGTGGATATTCAAGGTGTAACAGAGGCTCGTCCGGGGGGGGAGGTGAATTCTGAGGACCTTAAGCAACAGAATCCCAGCCCCAAATCCTCAATCCCAACCCCCTGTAGAATCCGAAACCCGAAGCCCCCAATCCGAAACCCTAAATCTGCAATCTCCCGGAACCCTAAACCCTAAACCCCTAAACCCTAAACCCCAAAACCCCAAAATCTAAACCCTAAACCCCTAAACGGTCCCTAAACCCTAAGCCTCTAAGCCCTAAACCCTAAACCCCTAAACCCTAAACCCCAAAACCTAAACCCTAAACCCCTAAACCCCAAAATCTAAACCCTAAACCCCTAAACCCCTAAACCCTAAGCCCCTAAGCCCTAAACCCTAAACCCCTAAACCCTAAACTTAACCGCAACAGCCGAAGCCAGGAGCTCTGAGGGTCGATGTTCCCCGGAGGCCTCGACGCGGCGAGGCGGGAATTCCAGAGCAGCCCTCCAGTTTCAGGGTTTGGGGTTTAGGGTTTATAGGGTTTAGGGTTTAGGGTTTAGGGTTTAGGGTAGAACGTCGGGGGCTCAAGGTTTGCCTATATACCTTATACTCATGAAGGGACAATTAGGAGGGACCCCTAGAAGGGACCTCTACTCCTAATACCCTATATCGCCCTTATATATACCCCTTATATAGTCTCATAAAGCCCCTATATAACCCCAAGGGTCCCTTTTTGGGTCTCTCCTTTTGTCCCTTGAGTGTTTCGTGTTTGGGGTTTAGGGTTGGCTGGCAAGAACTTAAGTGGAAGTGAATGCAGGGGGGTTCATGTGCTTCGTATGTAAGCGGATTATGAGGTTGTGTCATGTTGCAGCGGGGCTGCATATGGACAGCTGGTTATTGCGCATACCCAGTCGCCGTATGGGTGCAGCTGGACAGAGGTCTGAAAGACTATACAATTGAGCCTTCATCAGGGCAGGATGTCTTTGTTGCATGCTGACAGGGAGGCACAACATCACTTAACGTAAAAATGTCTATGTGTGCATATATATATATATGTTTTCTTTATGTGTGTGTATATATATATACATATACATGCACATGTTCAGCTTCGCCTCATGGCCATTATCCCACTCTTAAGCCTTATTAACTCCTCAACTGTATTGCCTAAACCCCTTATCTTCTTCATCATCGTCGCAAGTACATAACATGATCGTCACACACGCTGCGGGCCGCCTTGAGCCCAACAACATCAGCAAGGACTGTGGATAAGACGAGGGTTCGGTAGGTTTGTTTAGGGTTCTGTAGGGTTTAGGGTTTAAGGTTCTGTAGGGTTTAGGGTTCTGTAGGGTTTCTATGAGGCTTTGGATAATGAGCTTTAGGCGTTTGCATTGGGCTTCAGCGCGGCTTGTATAGGGATTTGAATAACATGCAACAGGGTTTGGGAGGGTTAAATCGTCGTGCTAGCTATTCTCAGTGTCTACATAGGGAATGGAGTACTAAGTATTCACACACCTGCATTTTAGGGTGCTTTTGGTCTAGATTCCAGTTGTCCAGGCCCTTACCCAAAGGGTGTATGTGCTTCTACGCATAGTATGTCCTTCGCCCTCAGGTGGCTTCTGTAGAGGTACTTTAGGTGAAAAGCATATAGTTAGGGTTTGGGTTTAGGGTTTATAGGGTTTAGGGTTTATGAGTACATGGACCCTCAAAGTAAGCGTGTCCCTATCAATACCTTGGGGCCCGCTACCTCTTGATGCGAGGCTCCGGACAGACAGCTGCCCACTGTGTGAAGAAAAGCAGCGACAGGTCTTGTCACGGTCGGGATCATCATAGGGGTAATTCTCTAAATGAGGGTCCCTTATTAGGTCCAAAACAATAGTACGGTACCCTTATAAAGGGAACTCTATAGCAGACCCTTACTTAGAGAACTACCCATCTGCTCTTGGAAGCTTCGGGGTTCGGAGTTGAGGGCGCAGGGCTTGTGCCACGAGGTTTCTTGCTGCTTGCATCTTCGTAGCCAAGGGTCGCGGCCCTACCGGTCGTCGGTCGAACTCGTCGTCATACGGCTCCCATAAAATCCATCACCGTATCTATGCATTAACCTGGTGACTCAAGCACAACGAACATGTCTCGAGATATGTCACCCGCGAAGATCGGGAGACAAGGGCCTCTGGCTGTAGAAAAAACCGCCCTTTCAAGCGCCGTCAGGTTGCAGCACGAAGATAGATCAACAGCAGCAGTAGGAGACAGCATCGCGCACATTTCAAAGCCTGGAAGATTGCAAGTCATGTGAGGGATGTGCATGTTGACCCATCCTCCCCTATTAGCCTATCATGACCTGATTCTATGTGTTTCTTCACACTTTGGCAGAACTTAACACTTATATGATCAGGCACATAGCAGAAAGGGCAGATCTGTCACACCAAACCGTACAGAATAAGACGCTATGATTCCGTACAATTGGAGGCTATAATGCTTTGACAATTTGAGGAGAAGCTGATTGATTGATTGGCCAATGGCAACAAGCTTTTGGTGCCAACGCAGGCAAAGTGTAAGAAACGAGCGTTATTGTGAAGACAACTTCTAGATTTTAGATTGTCGAAGCTCACGAACCAGAGCCCATCAGAATTTCAAGCACAGTCGTATCTCAGAACTAGATGATGATGTACGCTCATGACATTATGACTCCTCCACAGACAAATCCTAAACCCTAAAGAACTCTCAACCCCAAATATTGCATTAGATGACTTCTAGGTCTTGCAGAAAGCATTCTGCAGCAATTTGGCTTGTCAAACTGAATGGGTCGAAGTGCGCGGCTCCACCGGTAAACAGCGGCGGATGTGCCCAGTTCTTTGATCGGGTAATGCCACGTACATTCCTGAAACGCACGGCTCACGAAGAACTGGTTCATCGAGTTTATGGGGCTTTAGGGTCTAAAAGTTCAGCGTTTCGACTTCGGGTCCAGCTTTTAGCCGAGCCCCCCTGCAGCTGGACATGCGCCCGTCATGGCAGCCGCGAGGCGCCCTCGCCGTTTTCTCCCAAAAGCCTCCCGTTGCCAGAGAGCCCACTACTATAGAATTCTGATTAAATTACCCATAGGCCCCTAGGTGGTTCCTTTTTGGGATTACCCTATAGGATTCTAAATATAAACCACAAAAGGGAACTACTTAGGGGCCTATGGGTTTATTCAACCAAGCAATAATGCACCCCGTTTCCTTACAGGAGTCGAAGATGATACAATAGCAGATCCCAGCTGCAAGAGGAGAGGCAAACATTGCAAGAAGGCCTCCGGCTAAGTCTGGATCCCCCATCCTGAAAGGTTTACCTATAGTCTCCATTGTAGTTCCTTTTTTGGGGTTACCGTTTAGGATCCGTAATATAAAATGGGTTTAAACCAAAAAAAGGAACTACAGTGGAGACTATAGGTAGGGTTTAGGGTCTTGATTAAATCTTGTACAGCCCTATGCTGAGTTCACAACCACGAGGAGACTAGGTTTCCGTTCGTCCTCTCGCCGTTCTCCTTTTGGGGTGGGTTCCTTTAAGAGCCCGTGGTGGGTCGTGGAGCTTGTAGGGTCTTAGAGGATCCCTAAACCCTAAACCCTAAAAGGCCTTACAGGGTCTAGGATTCAGAAGCGGACTCTCGAGGATTCCTTGAGAGAGCCCTGGTGGTTCTTCCTGGTGGAGACTTGGGTATGACTGGCGCTTAGAGTCTCATTGTTCGGGGTGCGCTATAGTGACCAGTCTAGGGTTTAGGGTTTAGGGTTTAGGACTATAGTGGAGCCTTTGAGAGTTTTTTTTACATAACCTTGGCAGAACCTCGATTGCAGAACCCTTTAACGAGCCATTCCAAAAAGCCCTAATCA